CATCTGGTCACAAGAGGGATGCACTTTAGTAAAACAAGGTAATGGAATCTGGCCAAAGTTTATCCAGATAAGATTCAGACATGAAACACATGTCAATGAAGGCTGTAAACACACTTTTAGTAAAAATAAGTTAATACATCCTCAAGTAATCAAGTGTTTCTTTTTTTTATTTGCTGTGAGTGGCTTTTAAAAACAATAAAATATAGTATTCATGCTATGTTGTGCAGTCCAGGCACATAATCAAAACAGCATATGAGCTATAGGAAGGTCATGAATGTAATACAAATTTTCTTAAATTTCTGCTTGCCAGAGGCAAAAGAAACCTCATCACCCCCACCTCCACTGTCAACAAACAATTCTACCAAATAATGAAAATTTTCATGAAAAAACTGCTAAAATGTTTTATTTTGTGCAGTACTGGGAAAGAAAATGTGATGCTGCATTGTATTTGTTAATACATTCTTTATAATCTTGTTTTGCATCCAAGCAGTTCTCCCCTTGCTGTGGAAAGCATCTCCCCTCCTTCTCTGCATATGCTCTCTCTCAGCAGAACGAATGAGTGTGACCTTGTTAATGCTGTCTTTCCTTCATCACTCCTGCGTGGCCCTGCACTCCTGCCGGCCCCTTCCGCTCCCATATACGCCTGTACCTGTCATCTTGTACACTCCATCCATCCTTTCCACATAATTAAACCTTGTTGTCTAGTCAAAGTGCCCCTTCCAAAGCACCTCTTTACTTCCGCACCATTGCCTGATGTTTGGGGAGGGCATGCTGGCTGGTTTCATGAGCATTACGGCCATTCTGCACCAAGTTAAGGCCGCCCTGATGCCCGGAACTGAGATGTAGATACATGTAGATTTATTGCTTAGAAAACAGCACCGTATTGCCTGAAAGACCAAAGCAACAGTTTCCTGATGCTTTTTGAACGGAACTCAAAACTTGGGTTCTTCCAACTCTAATCTGAAGCAAAAGTGGAGCTTGATTTTCTCCTGTCTCTGAACATAAAAGTTTGAAGTACTGGTTATCTGATGGTGACAGTTCTGGTGGTCTATCAGGTCTAGCACAGATGTTAGGAGACCCATTTGTTCTATTTTTTTTAACCCCACATGGCCAGGGCCTGCCGACAGACCCAAAGTTTTATTACACACTTTTATAACCTAAGAATAGCTCAACCAGTTTGCACTGAAGTCCCTGTAGTAACTGAATAATAGGCCTAAGTATGTAATAAGCTTTGGAATTTTAAGGGTTTTTTTATTGTTGGTGTTCTTCCTCCCCCCCTCCTTATGTAAGCGGATCACCTTACATCTAATCTCCTCAGAAAATTAATAACTTGTTCTTAATGACCGTTTTGACTGGTGGTCTCTGACTTTCGTTCAGTACTGTATACCACTGTTTCTAGTTTATTAGTGTAGTGATACTGGCATTTACAATACTGATATTGATAGGCTAATAGGCTGCAATATGTAAACACCTCGTCGTCACTGCTGGACTGAGAATAGTCCACCAACCAAAAATATCCAGCCAACAGCGTCCTGTGGGCAGCGTCCTGTGACCACTGATGAAGACTAGAGAATGACCGACACAAACTGTGCAGCAGCAGATGAGCTATTGTCTCTTACTTTACATCTACAAGGTGGACTGACAAGGTAGGAGTGTCTAATAGAGTGGACAGTGAGTGGACACAGTGTTTAAGAACTCCAGCAGCACTGCTATGTCTGATCCACTTGTACCAGCGCAACACACACTAACACACCACCACATCAGTGTTACTGCAGTGCTGAGAATGATCCACCACCCAAATAGTACCTGCTCTGTGAGGGTCCATGGGGGTCCTGACCACTGAAGAACAGGGTAAAAGGGTAACAAAGCATGCAGAGAAACAGATGGACTACAGTCCATAACTGTAGAACTACCAAGTGCACCTATATAGTAAGTGGAGCTGATAAAATGGACAGTGAGTGTAGAAACAAGCAGGTGGTCATAATGTTATGCCTGATCGGTGTATATGATTTGCAGCAGTGCACACAAACCATATTTTAGTGTTTTTTTATTCCTGACTTAGTAATGTTACGTCCTTCAATTTGAATAAAAACAAGCAGAAATCTATTGTTATAAATTACATAGTGGTTAATTTTCAATATCCATGCCAAAATGTCAGTAATTATAGCTTTCACAGAACTCAGGTCGTCTTCGGGGAGCTAAGCTCTTCCTGGTACCCTGTAATTATAACACTGCTGTGATATGTGTAACGCTGAGGGAAACTAAGAAGCAGGATGCAGGCGCAAGTCCAGGGTTTTATTGTGATCCATAATGAAAAAACAAGGAGAATCCACAAAAACAATGAAACAAAGAATGAAACAAAGAAAGAACACTAGAAATCAAGATACCTGAACTGAAAGAAAACTATATATACTAAGGAAAATGAAGAAAACCAATAAACATCAGAGAAAACCACAAAACAGTGCCTGTGAAACAAAACAACAAGCACAAAACACAAGACAAACAAACAGATGTATAAATACACAGAGAACAAACAAGAAACACCTGGGGCTACGGAGGAGGCGGGGCTACAGACTGTAGAAAGGTGAGACAGATAACCAGGAGGTAGGACATGGGAGGAGACAGGAAGAAAAACAAAAGCACATGGCTAGACACACAAGTGAAGGTAAACAAAAGCAAACACAGAGAGAAACAGAGAAAGGGTGTGTGGTCGCCCTGTTACACTGTGGAATCGAAGCTTTACTTTCACAATGTGAGTTGAATCAAACTGTGAGATCATTAAATGTATGTAACTGGCTGCGTTTGATTAGTAAAACAGAGTCATGTAAAATGTGACCTTGTTATGATTTAACAGAGTCATGATTAATGGCCAAAAAAGGCACCAATCAGGAGGAAGGATGAAGAATCTCTGGCAGAACAAAATGTGCATTAAATTCAAATGATTTAAAAATGTAATGGCAAGAATGTAGACGACTGTAACAGAGTAAAAGCATTTTTTTCTGTACAAATAGACTCACGTTAAAATATATAGTAGTCTTTATTAAAATGATTTGTCTAATTTATTCAAAAATGACTTGTGTAAATGTAATAGAGTAAGTGTGGCGTGTTAATATCCACCTGTGGCTCTGGCAGTATCTATTGCAGAGGTCACCAAAACTGTAGTTTGTAATTCCACCCACAATCTGCCACACCTGCTCCAGCTAAGTAACTTCTTCAGAAGTCCTTGATTGGCTGGATCAGATGCGTTTTAGTAAGTTAAGTAGGTTAAGTAAATGGGGAGGGGCATATTAGATTCAGGCTGGTACTAAACTCTGCAGGAAAGAAGATTTTCAGGAGGAGGATTAGTGGTCACTGACCTATAACAAAAACCTAAAATATCATTCAGCCCTAACGAACACTGGACTCAGGTTCACAAAACTCCCTCTTGAAGCTGAAAATGGAACAGAAAGGTTTGGTTTGGGGGGAGAGGGGCAGATGTTGTATGTGCAATGGACCAAACTGCTGTCACAAGCATAGCTATCAGGAAAGAGGAACATATGGTGCTTCTCAAACATTCAAGCAAACATGAGTCACTTTGCAGATTATGTCTTGGTTCGTAACAACAGTCACGATTTCGGCCTATCACGACACAGCAACAGCTTCTTTAAAAAAAAACGAAAACAAAAAAAAAACAACATCAGATTCAGTTAAAAAAATCTCCATTTTGCTCTTTGAACTGTTTTTGCACTGGTTAATGTCAGGAGGTATAGGGGGTATAAAATGACTCCCAGCTGAACCATGGATGGGAAACATATTCTCTTTCACTGAAACTCAGTTTAGTGAACATGTGTTCATGATTTAAAAAAGCGGTTTGTGCAGTACTGCACACTATATGGCCTAATGTATGTGGACATCCCTCCTAATTATTGAGTTCAGATGTTTCAGCCACACTTGCTAATAGGTGTATGAAATCAATCCATGCAATCTCCATAGACAAACACTGGCAGAGGTATGGGTCCCACTGAAGGGCTCAGTAAAATGTGACACTGTCACAGGAAGCATCTATGAGTAACAATACTCAGCCATGAAGCGCTAGACCACACAAACTCACAGAGTGGGGCTGCCAAATGCTGAAGCACATACCTTGTAAAAAATAGACAATTATATGCTTCCAACTTTGTGGCAACAGTTTGAGCAAGGCCCCTTCCTGTCCAGCATGACTGTACCCCTGTGTACAAAGAGAGGTCCATAAAGACATGGTTTGACAAGTTTGGTGTTGACAACTCTAGTGGCCTGAACAGAACCCTGGCCTCAACACCACTGATAAATGGGATGAATTGGAATGTCAATTCAGAGCTAGGCCTTCTGGTCCAATATCAGTGCCTGACCTTACAAATGCTCTTTTGAATGAATGGGAACAAATTCCTAGAGACGCACTCCAAAATCTTGCAAAAAAGCTTTCCCAGAATAGTGGAGGTTGTTATAGCTGCAAGGGGAGGAGGGGATTCTATATTAATGTCCATGATTTTAGAATGGGATGTCCAACAAACACATTTAGGTGTGATGGTGAGGTGTCCGCATACTTTTGGCCATATAGTGTATTTACAAGGTCTGGAAAATGTAAATGGCTAAAGTGAATAAAAATACACTGAACATAATAAATCACTAATTTTCTTCCAGCCAATCAATTACCAAGAGTTCATTCACTCAGTTAATTCCACACTTCCAGACTTTCTGCATCAGGATGTCAATTCATGATGGCTGAAACTTGGACTAGTTTTAAACAAATTAACATTTTGTCCTCTCTCGGGATTGGAAAACATAATGAGAACAGTGACCCTGACTAAAAATACCCTGTTTGCATTCAAACCTGATTATCATCTTGTTTTGTGGACTGTTTTTTTTCTTAATCTGACTGTTTCTTGGCAAAACAGATGGGAAGATTTCATTAAAATCTTATCAGCTGAGTGTGAAACTGGATGGTAAGTATCCTCTAAAGTGAGTAATGTCTGTGTGTGTACCTCTGCTGGATTGGCTGAGGATGCAAACTCTACCACTGGAACAGCGAGCTGATTGGTGAAGAAATCCATGACCACAGGAGACTGCAGGGAGCTGATGTTTAGGCCAGGGCAACCTCCAGCTTGAATGCAATTCTTTATGTGTTTCTGGAAAGTGAAATACACACAGTCAACCTAACTCATGCATGTGTGTAAACGGATGTGAACTCTTAAAAATAAAGGTGACAAGAAGAATTTCTGGAGTATGATCAGGGGATCCTTTTCATGCCAGGACCCACATGTAGAGGTACTGTTTGCCCGGAGACCCATCAAATATTTGTGAAGTTAACTAAAACTAAAACTTGTCAAAAAAGTCTTTAAATCCTTAAGATTTCAGGCCAGGTTCACATTATACAGCTCTTTCAATCAACAAATGTAATAGTGAACATGATAAAAGAAAGAAACATGCAAAGGCTACACTGGTACATATACAATAAAAAAGTGATAAAATAATGACACATAATTTGTTCTGTATTTAGATGTAAAGCAAGCTTGTTTTACACCAGAAGCGATTAAGCAAGGCAGCAAAGATGAACTTTTTTTATTACAATTGTGTTTTTACATGAGTTGTGAGTGACAAATTGGAGTAATTTGTACATTTAGTGGCTTCAAACAGAAGAAAAATAGACTTGCAGCTTTGTGCACACGTTCCTTTTATTATGGTGCTTGAATGAATATAACACAGGAGCACTTTGCAAGTGACAGTGGTGAAGTGCTGAAGCAGGGTAGTTCCCCTTTCTGATCTGAAATAGTCTTCATATGCTCTGTTCTTGTGGAAACACAAAAAATTTGGACTGACCCAGCTTCCTCACAACCCACTCATGCCACACTGCAACCCCACAAGAATCGTTCATGATCTAGATCACTGCACCAGTACAGACACACTTCCATCAAAACATTCACTTCCGTTTTTTTATACATCATTTTTATGCATCAAGTCGTCCAGCAATACAGTGATGCAATATATGGTTAGAAAGCCATTTTATGATCTGCTATTTACAGCAGTAACGATTTTTTCCTTTGCAACATAAACCCTGAATGAGCAAACGCAAGCAAATCTGTGTGTCCTTACCTTCCCTGCCGCTTTCCACAGAGACATCATAATTCAAAACATGTGGCCTTGATACCATGGCAAGAGTCAGAGATCAGTTTTGAGATCTATGAGTCAGTAATTCATACAATTATTCTGATTGTTGGGAAAAAAACCTTGAGAATATTACCTTTCAAATGAGACCAAGATCATGACTTTAGCACAAAGTATGTGGGAACAGTGCTCCTTTTCACTTTGGGTATGCTGTTTCAGTCAAACTGGGTGACAGTTAACAGGTTAAAGAACTACTTTTGTAAATGACATATTAGTTGGAAGAAACTTTCTGAAATTTAAATAACCTCTGAATGATGTAAAGGTTCTGCACCAGTTAAAGGTTGTTCCTAGGCCTGCACATCCAAGCCAAGAACCATTTAGGAACCTGTCTTTTTAAAAGCGTGAGTAGTTTGAGCATGTACTTAATAACAAATAACAAAATAAAAGATCAATGCATGTAAACAGCTCTTGCACAAAATAAAGTACTTACTCAGTAGAATTCTCAAATCATTTTCACTGCGCTTCATTATTGTACATGCAGTGCCTTTTGGTTGTAATAGTATAGTACATAGTAATAGTATATTATAACAGATTGTGAAGGACCCCCCCCCACACCCCCCACCCCTCCTTAAAAATGTGTTTTTTTTAAATTGTCAACACCTCTTGGATGGTTTATTATGAATGTACAGCTGGATATTTATGTGAAATATGCAACCATTTCACAGAGTTTACTTTTTTCCATTGAAACACAGGCTTTTTTAGTCCATCCAAAAAAACAAAAACAAAAACAAAAACAAATAAACCAAAAAAAAACAAAAAAAACATGGGGCGCTATGTAGCCATTTTATACATATGTAGCCATTTTAGACATATACAAGAGCTTGAACTGACCATGGTCCAGTATCCCGACAGGACATTTGCTTACAGCTAAAGAACATGCCTGCAGTAAGTAAGTAGCTTACTTGTCTCAAATGGTTGGACAGTGCAGTATGCTGTTAGCTAAAATAAACAAATTAGATTGGTATTTATTACCTATGACAGTGTCAAATTTATATTCCACACCTATCTAATAAACTGTTAAATGCAAAGTTCTATGTCTAGTTCTGTTCTAGCAGGACATATTCTACTGCAGTGGCTTAGCATGCTACAGCTTTACCACCTCACCCCACAGGTTTGTATGTTTTTGTGCGTGAAACATTTCGTTTCAGCTTTTTTTGCGGCAATATCCTCATTAGCACTGGAAGGTAGTGCTAACTTAACAAGAAGACTTATCTTTAACATCTTTATACACAACCCCACACGTTCCCTCCGGCTCACTGAAACCTCACTGATGTAAGTTTTGAAGATAAAGACTCAAATTTAAGCAAGTAGATCTAACTTTTTGTGCAGGTAGAGGCAGCGACCAGGGTAGTGAGGGAGAGCGGCAGGTTTAGAAATAGGGCTGCAATTTGCATGACTGTACATTCAAAGATCTTTGTATCTTTAAGGAGTGTTCAGGTTTAGGCGCGCTGCTATGACATTTTAAATGGTTCAGTAGTTTCTTGGGCATAACAAGAATACATAAAAATATTCAACAAACCATTCAACATACATTTTTTTTGTGGTTTAATTTATGACTTCTACATCTAGAGCTAGAGGCTGTGAGTTATACTCTGGAGGGCTTCATCTGAGGTGGGGGAATATTCCTTATGAACGTTTTAAAGTGTGAAAAAGTGGCTGTGGTTCAAAGATGAAGTATTTTTCCCTAAAGTCTGAAAAATAAAATTACAGCTGTGGTCCCTGTCAGTGGGACAGTGCAAGTGAGGACAAGGTAGACCCTCAGTGTGTTTGTGCTAATGTTTTAGATTACAGTGAGTAGGAACATATAACAGAATATCTACTGTCCATGACTGTGAAACACAGTAAGAGCCCAATTTACAGTTGTACAGTAATGAAGGTTATCAATAAAAACAAGCAAACAAACAGACCTTGTTTGGTCAGTGTCACTTTTTGTTATATTTCATATTTATGTGATGTTCATATTTTGTTTGTATAAATCTGTATGAAATCAAAGATATCTGAGTACATGCAGTACTGTGCAAAACTTTTAGCATATTGTTTAAAACCATTTATCTTGGCAATAAGTGTGTTTTACCAGTAAAATACAACATTTAATAATTATTTGGGGACTGAAGACATTCATTGATCCAGTTTTGAGAGTGGAATTTTATACTTCCATTACGCAAGTCTTCAGCTGCACAACCATTTTGGACCTTCATTGTCGTATTTTGCACTTCATAATGCACCATGCATTTTCATACGTCATGAAATATTGCTTTGAAACATTGCTTCAAATATATATATATATATATAAATATATATATATATATATATATATATATATGTATATATATATATATATATATATATATATATGTGTGTGTGTGTGTGTGTGTATATCTTTCAATCTATGCCATGGGCCCTAATACCCCATATACCATGATAGACACTGGCTTTTGGACTTTATGCTGGTAACAATCGAGATGGTCCTTTTTTCTTTGGCCTGGAGAACACAACGTCCATTATTTCTATAAAATATTTTGAAAGGGAGAAATACCTAAATTTGTGGTGAACACTCAATGAGGAAAACTGTTCTTAAAACTTTTTTTTTAAGTCCTAGTCTTAAACTGCCCCAAGCCAACTTTATTGAACCGTGTTGCAGGCACCAATTTTAGAACTGCATATTAGCATATATTAACAAAAAACAATTGACAAAAAACAAAAAACAATTGACAAAAAACAAAGTTGATAAGGTAAAACATTAATTATCTTATTTTTGTACTGTTTTCATTTAAACACTGGTCAATGTGAATTTACATATCATTGCTGTCTGATTGTATGTGCATTTCACCTACATTACACAGCTTTCTGGATTGTGGCTTGTAAAAAATACCCCTTCCCACCAGATTACATGCCTAACCAAAAGCCATCTGACCTCAACACACAAAGTAAACTCACAAACAACAACAATATAAAACCCTTCAGCAATATGGTGAAATAATATTCACTACTCAAGAACTGGAGAATCAAACCAATCAAACAGTGAACAAGCACAACAGATCTGGCATCAGCAACAATTTGCTGTCTGGGCACCAGCATTAAAAACATGCGTTTCTTGAGGTTCTCTTCTTAAGAGATCAAGATCACAATAAGAACAATGATGACATCACCATCTCCCCTTAGGAAATGACTGAAAAAAGTATATTTTCACAAAAATGTTATGGACAAAATATTTTAGTAGCCTTAACCAATTCCTGACTAATATGACTCCTCAATTTAGGTAAATTATCATTAGTCCTAGCCCTATCTGGCACATTTTGTCCTTGAGCCATCAATTTGTCTAAACAAGTTATAGACCAGTCTGCTTTAATTGGCCATTTATCAGTTCTAACGATATGCAACACATGCTCATCCTTATGGCCCCATTCTTGTGCTGTGCATGGGTTGCAATAACTCTGCGTGTCTCCATTCTTTCTAAAAGAGTGGAGCCCTTTATCTTTGGAAGCTGCAAACGCTATTAAATTAAAAATCAGCCAGAGAATCCTGCAGTAGAAGGCAGGAGAAAGAGGCAGAATAGGTAACTTCTGCACACTGATGCCTTTTCCCTGCGAGGAGAATCAATATTTAATTTCTTCGTCAGCTATGATAACAACAGAGCAAAAATCATTGTTTATGTATTTGTGCCAGAGTTAGTCTGCTGCAGAGAATGCAGGAGATTGGCACAGAGTTCTGGGAGATGAAGGTGATCACCCGTACTGTGCACATTTTACAATAGCTGCTCTTATAGCTGTCCAAACAATACAGCCTGCAAAAAAAGAATCTGCAAACGAATGGCCTTTAACCGAGCCCCTTTGACTCCAATCCACTGTGCTTATGAAGACAGTGTAAAGAAAGTGTGGGTAAGTGAATACATTGCTATTTGCTGACAAACTACCCACTGACAACACAACAATACCATATGTTTGCAGGGGAAGCACTAACAGCT